ATAGTAGGCGTCGTTCACTAATGCGGTTAAGGTTATATTCCTGATCGCTGGCAGAATGAGCCTCAACGATTTGTTTATATGTTTTATATTGTCCTGCAATGCGTCTACGGCCAGTGCGCCATACCCAATGGAGAAAAATTTTTAATACATCTCCATTTTCTTCATGGGCGTTTTATCAGTCCAAGCCAGGAGCTGGTCTCTGAGTTCATCTGATAATTTTATCGGATCGATGGTCGTCGCCACGTGTTCGTTCATGAGTCGGTGGTATCATCGCATTGAGGACGCTGCGCAGACAGCGCTGCTGAAAGCTGCCTAGATTAGATTCATGATGTTCAGTGACCACAGATGTTTCGAGACTGTACATGAGCACCGTAAATACCCTTTCTTTCAGAATGGTGAACTTCGTATCCGTTTTTATAGTTTTTATCTTGCCATATGTCATACAGCTTACCGAAATTTGCTGATGCCAGTCTAATATGTCGTTCACTTCAGCGTCAGTGTCGACACAGTTCCGAGGTACTTGAAGTCATCCACCTCCTCCATCGTAATTCCATCCCATGGTATCCTCGGGCTGACGGCCTCAGTGTGCGTCCTCATAATCTTCTTCTTGATGATTGCCTGTAGCTCCACTTCCACACGATGTTGCCCTCCTTTTCAGTAGGTGTTAGTAGGCTACTTGCGGATTTGCTCAGCAGCTCAACGTCATCAGCATATTCAAACTCCATCAAGAATACCGCAGGGTATCTCTATCTGCGTCGCTAACGTACGGCAGGTTCGTCGTTGTCGTTTAGGCAGATGCATTGCCCTATAACCTAGTCCGCCATGATGTTCGATAGCAAAGGAGGGAGCACAGCACTTCATCTGATCGAACTTTACTGACGATATTGAGCTAACACGACAATGATCCTTTAGTTCAAATGATGCCTTCAGTCAGATTTGCCATCACCCGTAGGATAGAGCAGTGTCGAAAGCTGTATGGGAGTCAAGAAACGTCACGTACAAGATCAGTTCATAATCGTAAATGAATATTTGATACAATTTCATGATTAGCAGTACAAAGGCAACAAAAATGACCCAGTCCTTTTCAACATTTCAGTGTTTTGATTAAATAGGTAGGTGATGATCATAACACTGATAAGTTAACATGAAACAAGTTGGTGCGTGCTCTGGTTGGCAGAACGTTATTTCTTTAGGTTTCTTAGCTTCACACGCTGGAGAATGCACAAAACTGACACAGACGTTACAAGGTGATTGGGGTTGGCTGTGTTGTGAAATAAATTTTCGTCTGTGAACTCATTCTTTTCTTTTCCGTTCATCACCTTATTCCTGTTAAAATCGTGGTGATTTTTAGGGCATGAACAATAGATCCTTTAAAAAATGATTCGTCTAGCGGATTATAGTAAGTTCTTGTGTTCGGCTATTGATTTACGCATCGCTTCTCAGCAGGACTAGATTTAGCGGTTTACTGAATCGCCCCATAGCTTCTGTTGCCTAAATGGACAGTTCTATGGTTATTGAGCATGTGCATAATCTGTTCGCTGGAACAACCTCATGCTTTTCACGAAGATTTCTCAGGATCTAGCACTCTTAACATGCTGCTGCATAAATATGAAAGTTCGATCTTTACTCTAAAGTGCTGCTGCTTAATTCGTTCAAGAATAGAATGTGGACGCGCAGTGCGCCGTGGTATCTGGTTGTATAGCAGGTACGCGCCAATTAACATACTCCGGCGTACTATCCCATATTTCTCGTGACCTCTCGTGATTTTAAGCCGCTCTCAAGTCCTGCCAGTGTAATTGTTATCGCAATAACAGTCAGTATATGACTTCCGATGATCAAGCTTCCTGATGTTTTGTCTTTGAGGAAGAATGCGTTAAAACCTCAGCATTAACAACAGATTTACTTAAATATGCCTGAGACTTAGGACATCGTTAATGCAGTAAGTTGAAGAGAATACTATGGAAATTACGAACTGCGTTCATTATGCTGCATATGTGTTGGCAGATGTTGTCAGTTTGTTTCGTCACTGTTTTCATGTAGCATGGTTTGGTGACACAGTTCGTTAGAGGTCGGCTTCGAACTCCGGAGGTACCGGGTTCGATTACTACAGGCGGCAATTTTTCTCAGTTACGAATTCCGTTGAGAAAAGAAATTTACCACACACCTGCGTGCGCGTTGCTCAGTCGCTATAGGGTCAGACTCGGAACTGAGATGTCTCGGGTTCGACCCT